GTGGATTTTCCTGCTTTTGCTAGTAGATATATTTTTTTGTTTTCAGGAACAACTGGGTTGAGATCCAGTGTACTAATAGCCACAGCTGTAAGGGCTTTGCTAAGAAGGTGAAGAAAAGAGACAGTGACTCAAAATATGGGACCAAGCGGGTTGGGTATATAACCTGAAGCACCAAGGAAAAACACCATTCAGGCAAATTTTAGGAATAAGTAATTCCAGGAACAGAAAATGCATCTCATCCTGACAAGATATTGGGGTTAAAAAACTTCCAGTGACTCAGTGCTTGACAGCCAGTTGACTCCAGTGTTTTGCAGGGGCCGGCTTGGTTTATTTCAGGAGGATGACATCTATAGGGCTGGAATCCTTGTTTTCATTCAGGTTAAGGTGTTATACGGAGTAAGCATTCATTCATACAAGACTCCTTCCGTCTCCTAGGGCTTTTAACTTCTTGGTGGTAGGGCGCATCCTCTTTTGATGGAAAGATTTTAACTTGTTTCCTTGGATGGCGGTTTTGGAGATATCCATCCTTCTGTGTTTCAGTGGGTGACAGCTGTTCTGGGAGGATTGGATCTGGGTGATACAGGCGTGAGGTCGGTGTGTCTGGGGTCAGGAGCACTGTCAGTTCCGTCCAGGCTGGAAGTTTTACGAAAGGAGTACAGCTTGGCACATGTTTACAAAGCATGGGTGAGTAGAGTCATGGCGCTCTTGGAATGTGTTTGTGTGTGGTGAGTGGCGGGAGAGGAGGGTGTTCAGGGCTGGGTACAGAAAATTCAGGGTCTGCGGAAGTATCTACCATTTCCCCCTTTGAAAACTCCTCACAATTCAGGAAAGACAATAATCAGAGGTCATCATCATGGAATAATTCAAAACTTGGATGCTAAGCAGTGTGTGCTCTAGTGGAAATGGGAAGGATAGAGAGACATTCATTCATTCAACAGACATTTATGTTTATATTAAACAGGCTCTAAACTTGGTATTAGATGCTAGGAATGTTGAACAGAGATGAAAAACTCTGATTACAAGAAAATCATATCCCATAGAGGAGACAGGCTTGCAAATGCTTCCCTAGTTCATGCAGTGTGACAAGCGCTGCAATAAAGTGTACAACAGGTGAGGTGGATGCCACCGAGAAGCTTCTCCACCTCTAAAGCCTGCCTAGGAATGGGCTTCTGCCTCTCATCTCTCTTCCTCTTCTTTCTTCCTCATTTCTTTTTTTCCTTTTTTTTTGTTTTTGTGTTTTTTGAGTTGGGGTCTCACTCCGTTGTCCAGGCTGGAGTGCAGTGGCACACTCGTGGCCACCCCAGCATTGACCTGGTGGGCTCCGGAGATCCTTCTGCCTCAGCCTTCCAAGTAGCTGGAACTACAGGCGCTCACCACCATGTACGGCTAGTTTTTTGATTTATTGTAGAGATGAGGTTTCGCTAAGTTGCCCAGGCTGATCTGAAACCTATGGACTCAGGCATTCCCCTCACCTCGGCCTCCCAAAGTGCTGGGATTACAGGTTTGAGCCACTGCACCCGGCCCCTTTTTTAAAATTTGAAATCCCTGTGTCTAGCCCTTCATTTCTTTTATGTAGTGTTTATTCTACCTCAAGGGCTTGCTGTATCCCTCAGCATTATTCCTCAGAGTTTGACACAGACATGTGGGAATTCGCTTGGCCTGTGTAAGCATACCTCAGAAGCATGGAGGAGATGACGTGTGTGGGGATGTCCTGCAACCAGTGGGAGGTGGACTGTGGCGGATGGATGCTGTAGCTTCCCGTCCTTCAAAGGGACAGCTCTGAGATGTTCTCAGAGGGATCCGAGCAGGACTGAGCCCTCTTTGCCCAGCTCAGCATGGTCACCAGCTCGGTCATGCACTCTGATGGTTTTCCGTTCTTCCCTAACTCACTTCCTTTACTCCCTCACTCTGGCTTTCTGGGTTCGCCTTCTGTGAGCTACCTGCACCCAAGTTATTTTTTCTTTTTCTTGTTTTTTGAGTTGGAGTCTCACTCTGTCACCGAGGCTGGAGTTCAGTGGCACACTCATGGCCACTGCAGCCCCAACCTGCTGGGCTCAGATGATCCTTCCACTTCAGCCTTCCAAGTAGCTGGAACCACAGGCACGTGCCACCATGCCTGGCTTATTTTTTTAAAGTTTTTTGTAAAGACGAGATCTCACCAGGTTGCCCTGGGCTCAGGCATTCTCTGGCCTCTGCCGCACAAGGTGCTGGGATTACAGACGTGAGCCATTTTGCCTGGCCAGAAAAACATCTTTATTAGAGAAAGAGTTGGAGCTTCTGTAATATGATCAAAAGGACTCAAGGAAACACTAGCATGACATGGTACTTACCACATGCCAGGCATTTTCATTTCTTCTGTTTCACATACTCCTCACAACTGAGTTAGAGAATAATGTGATTGTCTTATTTTGCAGATGCTATTTTGCAGTTGAGGAAGATAAGGACCAGAAAGATAAGTGCTGGGATGATAGGCATGAGCTATCACACACACTGTGTTGAAGGACAGGCCCAGAATTTAATCATGTGGCAGAAATGCAAAGGAAGTTGTACGCACAGCCCTGACAGGTTGCCCCTGCTGAAGTCAGGGCAGTGGCCTAGCAAAGCCAACTAGAACTGGTCCTGATAAGCTGCCGGGCAGTCTCCTTGAAGCTTGGACGTGACAGTGGCATACACCAGTGGTGTCAGCCACGGCTGATTTTGCCTCCCCAAGGGATATTTGGCAATGTCTAGATATGTTTTTGGTTGTTACAACTGGGGTTTGCTTCTGGTTTCTACTGAATAGAGGTCAGGAATGCTACAGAACCACCTATAATGTACAGAAAAAGTCCTCCCAAAAAGGAATTATCTGGTTCAAAATGTCAATAGTGTGGAAACACCGGCCTGCAATAAATGAGGTAGAGGTAACAGAACTGTCTTGGCAGAGTACTGAAGAAGGAATCAAAAGATTCAGGAAGTTGGAGATTTTAAGTAGATTTATTACTCAAGGCCAGAGATGCATCCCCTGCACGGATCCTGGGAGGCTCACTCTCTTCACTCTGGCAATAGGGAATGCCCTTGAGAAGCATCTTTAAGAAGCTCAGTGTTGGCGATCCTCTGTAGGCCGAGGTTGACTTCAGGAGACGTTACTATGGAACTGGGTTCCCATGTATCAGTGAGGATGATGGGTTTCTGACATAGCAGAGACCAGGTGGTGGGAGTTGACCCTCAGAGTCAGGGTAGACATAGTACATAGTGAGCAGCAAGGCCAGACTCACAGCCAGGAAATCAACACACTGTCATGCTGGCAGAGCATGGTGCTCCTGAGGGTGTGTAGATGGGCAGCCAGCTAGGATGTTGCTTGACTTGTATGACCAGTGAAAAAATCAGCATCTAGTGCGCAAAAGATTGATGTCACCACCCTTCATCTAGTTTTCAGATGTAAGTCGGTTCTTGGACCTGTATCCCATGAATCGAGGGGGACGCTGGGTCACTCTGAGGAACAATCTTGGAAGTGCAAATGTTTCTCCATCCTTCCTCAAGGCAACTGCAACTCTTTCACAGAATCACTGTACAGAGAACAGAGGACACTCTCCAGACCTTCTGAGAGCTTCTGAGCTGACGCCAGGGCCAGGCAGCCCCAGCCAGTGAGGATAGGTGTTGCAGGACAATGTTCCAGCCTCCCGTCCTTCTGAGGGATGAGGTGTGGCCACACGGGTCTTGAGAAGGTCTCCAATAGCTTGAGTGGTCCCTGTTGTCCATGCGGTAACCCAATAGCACCGTCTCTATCCCCATCTCTCTCCTTACTCCCGTCACTCTGGGTTTCTGAGATCACCTCTCAGTTAAGTAAACTATCGGCATTCTCGTGTTTGTCTCTGTTTTGCTTTGTTTTTCTCCTTTGGGGGGGTAGGTGAGGACTGAAACTATGGCAGGTAGCAGGCAAATGTGACGCTTGGTACCCTAACATAGTGGTCTCAGCCCCCTCTTCTTTCCAGCACTTCTCCTGAGCCCCCCTGGGACTCTAGAGCCAGCTCCTAGGCCACTGGCAAGCTGTGAGTTGGGCTTATACATTCGCCTGTGCTGTGGGTGTAGATGTCTCCTGGGTTTACTCTCCCTGACCATCAGTCAGACCACACATCTGTTCACAGGTCTGTGCCTTTCTTCTTCTCTTCTGTGAAATTCCTGTTGAAGTCTTTTGTCTTCTGCTTTTTTTTTTCTTACTGCTCTGTGGAGTTCTCTATTCTGGTGGCTCGTCCTTCCTTATTGGTTATAGTGCTGCAAATATATTCTTCAGGGTTGTAGCTTGTCGTTTGACTTCCTTATGGTGTTCTTGATGAAAAAAAATCCTTAATGGTTTGAACTTTTTGTATTTTGTTTTGAAAACATTCTCTGATAGAGGTCAAGGTTATTCTCTATTGTGTTCTAAATATTTTATAGTTTTGCTTTATATATTTCATTTTAAAATCTACTTTGAAGAGATTTTCTCCCTTTTGGCTGCTTTTAATATCCTTTAACTTTCTTTTTAGCAGTTTTGCTTTGATGTATCTAGGTGTGGCTTTCTTTGTAGATATTCTGCTTGGAGTTGAGCATCGTGAGTCTGTGAGTTCATATCTTTTCTCATTTTTGGAAAAACTTAACAGGAGACAGCTGGATCATCATTCAGTCTGTGGCAATGTCACATGTCATGTAGCCTCTGGAAAATGAAAGCAAAAAGAGCAAATAATGTCAGTATTATTATGAAACTAATTTAAACCCTTCGAAAGGGTCTTGGAGACGACCTGAGGTCCTTAGACCACACTTGGAGAATCTCTGTTCTGAAGTTTTGGCATGAAGCACATGCTGGCCTCCTAAAATGAGCTGTGGAGTGTTCCCTCTTTTTTCTTAGTTCTGACATAATTTATGTAAAACTGGAATGACTTTTCTTGAATACCTAGTAGAACTTGGAAAATCTTCTGGGCCTGAAATTTTCTTTATATGGAAATTTTTAAAGTTTTGATTCAGTTTCTTTAATATTCTAGAACTACTTAAAGTTGCTATTTCTCCTCGAGTTTCTATTGATAAAAGAATTTTTCCATGTCATCTAAATTTTCAAATGTATTTGCATGAGTTCATTGATATCATCTTATCTTTTAAATATATGTAGCAATTAGAGTTATGCTCCTCTTTTCATTCCAGATATTTATTTGCGCCTTTTCTCTTATTATTTTCTCTTTTTTGGGGTTGAAGTCTCACTCTGTTGCTCAGGCCGGAGTGCAGTAGCACAATCACAGCTACTGCAGTCTCGACCTGCTGGGCTCAGGTGGTCTTTCTGCCACAGTCTTCTGAGTAACTGGGACTACAGGAGCGCACCACCATGCCCAGCTAATTTTTTGATTTATTTTACAGACAAGGTCTCACCATGTTGCCCAGACTGGTATTGAACCCCCGGACTCAGGCAATCCTCTCGCCTCTGCCTTCCAGAGTGCTGCGATGACAGGCATGAGCCACTGCACCTGGCATCTTTTCTTTCCTGATTTTTTATTACTATGGCCAGAGTTATGTCACATGTCAACTTTATTAGTCTTTTTTTAAACAAACACTTTTAACTTTGTTGATGACTTCTGTTTTTTAAATTAATTCATCTTTATGCTTTTATTTATTATTTTCTTCTGTTATCTTTGGTTATATTTTGTTACGATATATCTTTTATAGAGGAAACTTGTAAAGCTCATGTGTGGATACTGTTTTTGTTTCCTTAACCCCAGTTTTATTACACAGGGGGGACCTTAAAAAACATGGAATTTATGTATAAAAAATTAGGTATTCTAACATGATCAGACTTCAGTCACCTTCAAAGTACTCTCTGTTTGATGCAGCACACCTATCGAGACGCTTTTCTGCTTCTCAGAACAGTTTTCGAACCCGTCAGTCAGGATGCTTTTGGTGCTTTTACCATTTTTTGTTTCACGTCTTCCACGTCGGCAAAAGGGTTCCCTTTGAGGAGGGAAAAAAGTCGCTCAGGGCAACACAGGGTGACCAGGGAGGACGGGGCCGGGAGTCGTGCCGTTTTTGCTCAAGAGTGGCAGAACACCCCGTGCCGTGTGGACAGATGCACGCACAAATCGCCCATCGTGCAGCAGGCAAATGCACTGAAAGGATCTCTCAAAATAAAAAATTCAAATAGAGCTTCTCACAGCAGTGCTATCTGGTACACTGATGGATGGGTTCCTAAAACATTCGCCTCGCGGGGGAAGCCTGGACTGCAAGGGTCCGCCCTCCCCCCCCAAAAAAGGAAGATGTTTCTGGTTTTTTGGATCCCCCTCATAAACTGATTGATCTACGATAAAAATGTGGACATGAGAGCTATTTTCCTGTTTCCATCGTTCTGTCAGTCAGCAGAAAGCTCCTGCCTGCCCCCACCCCTGACCTCTTCAGGCCGACTCTGTGGCATGGCTTCCTTGCCACTCTGCATGTCCCTCCTGGAGTTCACAGATGGGAGGTTTTGGAATGAGCACATGCAGGGAGCTGCACTCCATTGGCCTGTGTTAAAATTTCCCGACAAGCTCTCAAGGCCTGTTTATACACTGAGCCAGTGGTTCCCAAACCACCTCAGGGTGAGAATCACATGGGGAGTCTGCTGAAACACCGATGTCTTGGCTCCACCATTGGAGGTCGTTATTAGTAGGTCTAAAATAGGGTCACGTATCCTGGGCAACAAAGCAAAACTCCTTCTCTGCAACAAATGAAAAAATTAGCCAGGTATGCCAGTGCATGCCTGTAGTTCCAGCTACTCAGGAGGCTGAGGTAGGAGGATTGCTTGAGCCCGGGAGGTCGTGGCTACAGTGAGCTATGATAGCACCACTGTACTCAACCCTGGGTACCAGACAAGACCTTGTCTCTTAAATAAAAAATTAAAATAGGTCCATAGAATCTGGCATTTAAAAGCAAGTTCCCTAGGTATTTTGTGCAGTCAGGTTTGATTAGACAAACTTTTTTTTTTTTACTCAAACTCACAGTAAGAAATATATTTTATATATGTGACCCAATATAGAGAGATATGAGGGAGGACCAAAAAAAAAAAGACAAAACTGGAATTATCTTTTTGAAGGGTGGGCCCCTTGTAGTACACTCAGAATTTATTCCTCTGGATCAAACAGTCAACCAAAGTTTTTATCTGGAAGTTTTGAGAAGGTTGTATCATGATCTGTGGAAGAAATGTCCCACATTGTGGCAAACGGGTAACTGGTTCCTCCACCATGACAATGCACCTGCCTACAACTATGCTGTGTTCAGCAGTTTTTGACCAAAAATGACATGACCCCTGTGCCCCACCCTCCCTATTTGCCCGATTTCACCCCAAGCAAGAATTTTTTGTTTCCCTGGATGAAAAAAGTCCTCAAAGGAAAATGTTTTGCTGATGTAGATGAGGTGAAACAAAAACGGCAGAAGCACTGAAAGGCATCAAACCGATGGCTTCAAAAACCGTTTTGAGCAGTGGAAGAAGCATCTCGATAGGTGTGTTGCATCAAACAGAGTACGTTAAAGGTGACTGAAGTTTAGACATAAAAGAGAGTAAGTACACAATTTTTTGTAAATAAACTCCATTTTGGGGGTCCCCATTCTATATTGAGTGACTGATTTATATACCTCCAAAATAATAAACTTAAAATGTATGAACTCTGTGCATTAGTCAATGACAAGCAGATTCCTTGATATGTTCCAGTTCATGGTCTCCAAGAAATACAACTTGAAATCATTCATGACGGCTCAGTACCTATTACCCAGAAAGTTGACAATAATCGCAACACTCAAGGCTTGTCAATAGCTAGTTTTTCTGTGTGGTCTCTGATGGGGAGAGCTTCATGTATCTGAAGTGAAACAGTTGATAGACTCTAAGATGGTCCATGAGCTTTTCAGTTGTGTTAACTATTCATTAGGTATTAAATGAATAGCTTTCCTGAAAGATCAGTGAGTAGAGTGAGGCTGGATTGCAGACTGGGATTTTGACATGTGGAATGCCAGAGTAGCTTGCCACCGTCACGTGGCGAGTCTATGACGATGATGCAACCACACTCAAACCCCTGCCCTCTCCACACAGGATCCAGGCTTTACATGAGAGTGATTTGTTTGGTAAGGACTTGAAGTTGTGGTCTACAGGAAAACTACATTTTCAGCTGAGGACTAAACATTTTCGTTATACCGCAGCCGGTGATGCTTATTGGCGGTTTCATATATCGCTGTAACAAGCCACCCCAAAACTTAGTGGCTTAAAACACCTGCAGCAGTCATTTGTCTCATGATTGAATTGGGCATGGCTCCGGGTCTCCCTGCATTGTCTTCCATTCAGAGCTCTGCTTCCTGCAGCAGGGCAAGGGATTCCAAGAGGACAAAAGCAGAAGCTGTAGCGTCTCCAGGCCTGGGCTCAAAGTCCCAGAATGTCCCTTCAGCCACATTTTCTTGGTCAAAGCAAATCACAAACTAGCCCAGATTCAGGGGAAGGGACACAGATCCTGCCTTTGGTTGGAGACGTGTCGTGCACGTTCACCCTGGGGAGACTTGGTGTCACCTTAGGAAATGCACCCACCACACTGACTTCCCTCCCTCCCTCCCTTTCGTGTCTCTTGCCCAGTTCTTTCATTTCTTCCTCTGTCTAAATGTGCCATCCATTACCTACATTATAAATCTCCAGTATATCTTTTGTTTAAAGATGAAAGATGAATCTTTTCTTATCGATACCCCTTTGCACCTCATTGATACTTTTCTAGTTACTTTTTAAGGTTATTAGCACTTATTTTATTATTAATAAGATGAACATTGTAATTAATTCCACCCAGAGCTAGCCACTTTTACTCCTTTGGTATAGGTACCTTTCGTTCCTTTTTCTGTGTATATGCATGGAGTACACGTCTGTATTCGCATACTTGGGGGAGGGTTTTATCACTTTGGATTGCATCAGCATCCTGTCATTCAACTCTTGTATAACATAAGTTTTAGTAACTACATAGTGTTCCAATGCAGTCCCCCATTCATTTAACTGAGTCCCTTTGGTTAGGCATTTCAGTAAAATTTTAGCCATTGTTTATAATGGCAGTGATACTTACTCAGTGAGCCCTATTTTGTCAAGTCTCTGTTGGATTCATAATTTCGTCTTTGGAATAACATCTAAGTAGAATAGGTGTGGCAAAATTTATGTACATATATTTTTCATTTTGGTAAAGTGGGCATAAGATGTGCCCTTAGTAACATTTAGTGCATTCACAGTGTCATGCAACTGTTACCACTACCAGTTCCAGAACACTCTCAGCACTCCAGAAGGAAACCCCACACCCACCAAGCCGTCACCACCTATTTCCCTGCCTGTCCCCCATCCGCTGTCTATCTCCACGACTTGTCCATCCGAGACACTCATAAAAATAGGCTTCTCCAACCTCCACACCTGGCTTCTTTTGGCCCACATGAGGCTTCAAGGCTCAGTGTGTTGTAGCATGCCTCCGCCCTCTGTTTCTTTTTATGGCCAAATAATATTCCATTTCATAGTCATGCCACACTTCACCCCTTCATCAGTTGGCAGACACAGGCTGCCTTCCCCTTTAGCCACTGAATAGTGCTGCCAGGACAGGCACCTGCTTGCACAGCTGTTTTGAGTTCTGCTGGGCACATACCCAGGAGTGGAATTGCTGGGTTGTATGCTGATTCTGTGCTTATCTTCTCGAGAAATTGCCGAGCTGGTTTCCACAGTGTCTGTTCTACTTTTTGTTCCCACCAGCAATGCACAAGAGTTCCAATAATGTAGCATCCTTGTCAACACTTTCTATTACCCTTATTATTATTTCCGTCCTAGTGAATGTGAAGTGATAGCTCATTGTGGCTGTGATTTGCTTTTCCTAATGCCTAGTTTTGTTGAGCGTCTTTTTATGTGCTTCTTGAGAGGTTTACATATCTTTGGAGAAGGTTATGTGTATTTTTATTGCTATTGAAGTTGACCTTGAACATGCCGACTTTTCCTTTCATCATCAGTATTTGTGTGACCCTCCCCCAGAATTCTTTTTAAACCATGATTGTGATTTTTTTTTTCTTTTCATTTCAGTGCCTCTAGGTTGCACAGACAGTTTTTGGTTACATGGCTACATTGCTTGGTGGCAAAGAAGTCTGGGCTTTAAATGTGCTTACCACCCCGCGTGAGCACATTGGAGCCGACAGGTGATTTTTCATCCCCCGCCTTCCCACTCTCCTCCTTTGTAGTTCCAGTATCATTGTATCGTTCTCTGGGCCTTTGCAGATCCTTGGTTCATATCCCACTTGTAAGTGGGAACATGCGGTGTTTGGTTTTCTGTGTCACTTCACTTTGGATGATGGTCTCCAATTCTGTCCAAGGTGCTGCAAAAGGCACTCTTTACTTTATTTTTATTTTTTTGAGTCAGAGTCTCACTCTGCCACCCAGGCTAGAGTGTAGTGGCATGCTCGTGGGCACCGCAGCCTTGACCTGCTGGGCTCAGGCGATCCTTCCACCTCAGCCTTTCAAGTAACTGGGACTACAGGTATGTGCCACCACGCCTGGCTCATTTTTTGATTTATTGTAGAGATGAGGTCTGCCCAGGCTGTTCTCAAACCCAGCAGCTCAGACAATCCTCTCACCTTGGCCTCCCAGTGCTGGGGTTATAGGCGTGAGCCACTGCACCTGACCAAAAGACACTATTTTGTTCTTTTTTTATGGTTGAATAGTATTCCATGATGTATGTGTATGTGTGTGTATACCACATTTTCATTATCCACTGATGAGTTGGTGGGCATTTATATAGATCCTACATCTTTGCAATTGTGAATTATGCTGTGATAAACATATGAAGACAGTTGTCTTTTTTGTATGATGACCTCTGTTCCTTTGGGTAGATGCCTAGTAATGGTATTGCTGGATTGAATGGTAGATCTACTTTTAGTTCTTT